ATTAGCAAAAGGTGTTTTATAGCTGTTAAACGTAAGAAAGGGCAAAGTAGTCTGAATAAAGATGAGTAAAAACCCTTTGGACTGGAATATTAAACAGTCTATTAAACGAAGAAGAGAAGGATGAGCCATGTCAATGTTACCAAACACTTCCTGTAGCTCTTGCTGAACTTTTCGTTGCACCTCTGGATGGCTTCCAATCAGATGGAGGGCCCAGTTCATGGAGGCAGCCGTGGTGTCATGACCCTGAAAAAAGAAAAGTGTTAAGTGCATTTCCAGCTGTGTAGGTTAATTTTTTTTCTGTTGTAACAAATCTTTATTTTTAGCTGCAAGTCTCTCCACTAACCTCAAACATAAAGGTGTCCACTTCCTCTTGAATGTCCTGATGGGTCAACTTGTTTCCATCTTCATCTGTGGTCTTCAAGAGCATGTCTAGAAAGGCCTGTCGCTTCTTCTTGAAATTTTCGGAGTCGCTGTCTGATTCAATGTAGGACAAGTTTTCAGACCTTTCCTTTATTACCTGCACATAGAGATTGTTATGGTTTCTATTGGAGTGTCCAATTTCTGCATGAAGGAATTAAAAAATGCATCTTATTTTAAACTGTCCACTTACACCGGGCTAACTCACTTTATAGGTAAAAGAATGGAGGATCTTCAGTGTCTTGTCATGCTTCTTACCCTCACCAAAGAAGTAGTAAATAAAGTCAGGCCAAAACCAGGGTGTTCTTTGTCTGTGGCTGACAATATCACTCATCCTGGGGGTAAAAGATGATGCTCAACCCTCTAAACAGATATTATTCAACTGAATATATAATTTTTTGAAAGGAAACAAAAAGCATACCTGTATACACACTTAACATACTCAGATTCAGAATCGCTCTGTGCGTAAATCTTTCTTCCCATTGCAGTTTCTGCACAGAGAGCAAAGTTCAGCATCACACTAACACACACACATATCTTTACTTTTTTTGAATAGAATTGAAAAATATAATTAAGCAGTATATGAATGCTAAACATACATCCCAAAACCATAATAAATTGTGTAATAAATTACAATAAAAATGTTCTACAAAATTATTCAACATAAATTTACCTGAAAATAGTGCAAAAACAAATTAAAGAACTCGAGAGTGTTTAAATAATTTAGGATATCAGCACATCACCTAGATCCCAGTGGTGCACTGCCTGCTATTACCCACGCTCCACTGCACCTCCAAGGAGGGTGCAACTAAAGTAAAACCCATTTTGTTATTTGTTACTTCAGTGGCTTGGTTAGAAATTTAGAAATAATTTCTAACTAAGCCATTATTATTTAATATAAACTTTAGATACTAAGGTAAAATGCGAATATCTGTGCTTGCATTCTATCAGTGATCTGTTTGGTCAAGAGTCAGAGCTGAACACTTAACAGCTTGATTACATGGAGATAGTTCTTCTGGTTTGGTTAATGATTAAAGGTTACCAATTCCAATTATAAAATTTAATTGGCCACATTTACTGGAGCTTAAATCAAACAACTGCTTTAAATGACTACATTCACTATTAAATTCAGTTAATAATTGTTACTTGATAATTAAAAATGTTCTTATTAAAGTCTGGTACAAGTTAAGAGCTACCTTTCCTCTTTATAAATCAATTAAGGTTTGCTTACAAGACTTTCCCTCTACATGCCCCACTTCAACCATAAGAGGTCAATTATTTAAAAACAAATCAATTAAATACAAATCAATGTTGAATTTTATTTAAATGAGCCAGCTAATCATTGACATTTTATGATTACGACTGCAGCCCTGTAAAATAAAAGCAAAGAAAGATTTTCACAGAGGCAGAATGGTAAAAATGGCATCAGGCAGAGAGTTAAT